CATTGCCCAAACACTGTACTTGAGCATTTCTAAAAAAATAAATAATTTTTTTGGTAGGATTCTGCATTCTGCCGTTTCATATAAAATGAAATTGTTTCTGGTGCTCCTGATTTGGGGTGTGAACATGGGAAAAATGTACGGAGGTATGTCAAGTACGGACGTGTATTACCAAGTTTTGTACATAAAGTTTATTTTTCTGACAGTATATATACATTATTTCGAAAAATTAAAAACGTTAGTAGTATAGGGAAGAGGGGTTCTGAGACGTGTGGTGCTGGTGGTGCTCTAAGCACCACCCATGACGTCATCACAATATCATATCCTATTGATTATACGCGCTTGTAATATATTTAAAGAGTGTGGACCAATGATTACTAGCATTTTAAAGAAAATTTTAAAAATATATTCCTTGTAACAAACACATTCATGATATATATTCTACTAAAGTTGTTGTAATGCTTGTGGGACGTAGATATTGTACTTATACTCATGCGCGGTGAGAATTATGTATTACGAAAATTCCTGACTTATAGAAGTTGGCAAAGATTTCGGAGGAATTCTGCAGAGAATATCCCAGTTTATTCAAAATTCCCCCAAATCATAAATGACAATAAAAATAGAGTTTAAAAGGTGTATTTGAATTCATCGTATTACAAGATTTTATTAGATAATCTTAGAGTGACTGTCCACTATTAACACCATGCTTGGTTTTCCCTGCAGGGGATGTATTCACCACGTTTAGGACTATTAAGTTATTCAAGTAATAAGAACAATCCAGACATACATATAAATTTTTTTAAACAGAACTAAGCCGTTGCTAAGCCCAAGTCAAAGTCGTTGTCAACGCCGTTGTTATGGTCGAAATTTGCATATTACAGAGTCATTAAAAAGTGATTAACCCGCCCTCCCCATGTGGATACAATTTGTTTTGTCATCCGGCGAGCTTGAGGCACAAAATACTAACAAACAGAGAGTTATTACAGATTATATGCAAAATATATCGAAATTTTGCCGTTAGTAGCTCTCTATAAAACGTATCCCGCCAAAGTCATTAACAGTCATTAATGGATTACAAGCAAAGCTTTAAATCTCTTAAGTGCTTATTATGGATAGATAGGGATTATTTATTACGAGATCTTGATATCCTAAGATACTGAACGATATATTAAGTTATTGATCGTTATCCTAAGATACTGTATGATATCCTACGAAGCTTCACAGAAGCTTTACAGAAGCTGCACAGAAGTTTTACAGAAGCTTCACAGAAGCTTCACAGAAGCTTCACAGAAGCTTCACAGAAGGTTCACAGAAGCTTCACAGAAGCTTTACAGAAGCTTAACAGAAGCTTCTGTAAAACTTCTTCGAAGCTTCTGTAAAGCTTCTGTGAAGCTTCTGGAAACTTCTGTAAAGCTTCTGTGAAGCTTCGTATGATATAGTACAGTTTCTTAGAATATCGATCAATACCTTAAGATATCGTTCAGTATCTTAGGATATCAAGATCTTAAGATATCAATATCTCAGGACGTTAGTATCTTAGTATATTATGCAGTATCTTAGCTTATCATACAATATGTTAGGATATCATACAGTACCTAATTAGGATATCATACAGTGTATTAGGACATCATACAATATCTTAGGATACCGTACAGTATCTTGGGATATCATACAGTATCTTACGATATCATACAATATCTTAGGATATCATACAGTATATTAGGATATCACGCAGCATCTTAGGATATCAATATCTCGGATGATGAAAGCATTCACATTTATGAAAGCAGTCACGATGACGAATCGGATATTGCAACGTCTCAAACAAGTGACAATATATATTAGAAGCATAACTTTGTAAAACATTTTGAAGAAATAAATGTATTTTAAAAGTGAAATCTTGTGCAAGCTATTGCCTGCACAGCCATGCGCCCGATTTTAAGGTAATAAATAATCCCTATCTATCCATAATAAGCACTTATAAACACGAAATAAGAAATGTGCTGATACTTCCCAGGCATGGAGTTTATGATATACTTAAAGTAAAATCACACAAAAAAGTCGGGGTCACCGAACTCGTTAAGAAGATATGACAATCACAATACACCACCTTTACCCCAATATGGCGCCATCTTGACGCTCATTACGACTAACAGCAAAATCACTCACAGCACGATATTTATTGACGTTTTTAGCGCGGATTTTGCTTTAGTAAACCTATCTTGTAATTAGTTTTGAAAAAATATTGTGTTATGAACAAAATGAAACTACTAACGTGTATAATTCTGAACCACAAGTGTCTTTTCCACATTTCATTACATATCTTTCTTTGAGAACATGCATTGATAAAGGATTTTTTACAAGATCCAGAAATGATTTTTCTTTTAATTTCGGATATGAAATGTAAAATGCATTAAAGAAATAAATTATCAGTTAAAAAATTGGGGTGACCGATCTTTTTAGGGAATTGTGGCTTTAAAACGTGAAATACAAGTAATAAATATACTACAGACACAGGGAAACCTAGTTACACTTTTGTATGTCTTAATGGATGAAATTATAAGTTATAAGATGTGCGCACATAAAAGTGCGCAATGCAAAACTGCGGAATTACCTTAAGAGATTAAAGTTTTGCTTGTAATCCATTAATGACTGTTAATGACTTTGTCGGTATACGTTCTAGAAAGCCACAAACGACAAAATTTCGATATATCTTGCATATAATCCGTAATAACTCTCCGTTTGTTATTATTTTTCTGTCTCAAGATCGCTGGGTGAAAAAAAAAGTATCATCATGGGGTGGACGGGTTAATCACCTTTTAGTGACTCTGTAATATGCAAATATCGACCATAACAACGGCGTTGACGGCGATTTTAACTTGGGCTTAGCAACCGCTTAGTTCTGTTAAAATTTTTTTATATGCATGTCTGGAATGTTCTTATTCTTTGCTTAATAGTCCTAAACATGGTGAATACATCCCCATGGAAAACCAAGGATGGTGTTAATAGTGGACAATCTAAGATTATCTATTAAAATCTTGTAATACGATGAATTGAAATACACCTTTTAAACTCTATTTCTATTGTCGTTTATGATTTGGGGAAATTTTGAATAAACTGGGATATTCCCTGCAGAATTTCCCCGGAATCTTTGCAAACTCCTATAAGTCAGTAATTTTCGTAATACAAAATTCCCACTGCGCATGCGCATAGGTACAATATCTACGTCCAACAAACATTACAACAACTTTAGTAGAATATATATAAAGAATGTGTTGAAATCCACTCAGTTTGTTAGAAGGGATATATGTAAAAATTTTCTTTAAAATGCTAGTAATCATTGGCCCACACTCTTTAAATACATTACAAGCGCGTTTAATCAGTATGATATGATATTGTGATGAGCACCACCCGTCTCAAAACCCCTCTTCCCTATACTACTAATGTTTTTGTTTGCGAGTTGTTAAAAAAATCGTCGTTATACATCGCCACCTACAGTGATTGCTAGCAGAACAGAACAGAACAAAACTAAACAGAGTAGAACAGAGCAGAACCGAGCAGAACCGAGCAGAACCGAGCAGAACCGAGCAAAACCGAGCAGAACTGAGCAGAACCGAGCAGAACAGAGCAGAGCAGAACAAAGCAGAACAGTGCAGAACAGAATAGAATAGAATAGAATAGAATAGAATAGAATAGAAAGAATAGAATAGAATAGAATAGAATAGAAAAGTTTCAATTAAAGGTAAAAAATTATCATTGCATTTGAACTATTACTTACATTAGATGGTGTTTTGCTGTGCGATAAGCGAATATTATTGGAAAGAGGGCTTCAATATATATCCATTGAAATCACCAAAAAAGCAGCTCATGTACACATTTCCCCACTTTGTCGTACGTTCACAGAGGAACTGACCTTTGCATTTGATGTGAACATTTACTCTTATAGTTTAAGATTATCCCCCAATCGAGCCAACGACGCGAAGCGCCGTTCCGGGCGTAAGCCCGGGGCGAGGATACTAATTCCGCCCGGCTATTTACACCCGGGGAAACGAAAGCACTAGCGAAGTCTAAAGTTCATCAATGATCGCGGGCGTTGGTGACCAACGTTGGATGGTCATCCTCACTGACTTCAAAATGTGTGGCGGACTGTCATGAATAGCGAACACTGATTGGTCAAATTCAAAATTTGTTGGTGTATGACAAATGACGACAGCAAAATAACAAACAATCCTTACAAATATATTGTATTTTCCAATATTTATATAAAAATAATTCAGATTTGTGATATGCTTATGAAAGGGGACGATATCCATAAGAGCTATAATTATGCTATCTAACAATTGAAAATAATTATTTTATAACATTTTTGAAAGAGTAAATTGATTGCGCTTCCTTAGTTTAGCACCACACTACCTTAAAGGGTTTTTTAAGAAATTCGCCTGTCAGTTTAGGAAGGGCCAGATCCGTGTGAGAATTTCTGAATTCATAATTAATTTGTATAAGAGAATATTCCTTCTCATCAATAACTGTTTCAAACTTAGTGCTCCACAATAGTTCAGAATTTTATATAGTAATGTTGCCCTGTTCATACCTTGTCTGGAATAACGTCAGCAGACCTAATAGAAGAACGTCAGCAGACCTGATCTCATGGCTAGCACCAGCTATTATTCTGTCTCCGTAGTAGTTCTGTTACAGGCGCACGCCGCCACGCAGATTAATTCTAATTACCAACAGGCGACACAACTGTAAAATAATTCAAATTCCAAAACTATAACTACGCTTTAAAGGCCATGTTACACGGTGCAATTTTTCTTGCAACTTGCAATGCAATTCTACTCTTGAAAGATGTAAAATTGCCAAATACGAGTCTTCATTACACCCCGCTAATGTTTTCTCAACATATCGAAAATTCTTCACTGATTTCACTAATTAACATCTCTCATGAGGAGAATTGCATTGCAAGTTGCAAGAAAAATTGCACCGTGTAATATGGCCTTAAGTGATTCTGCTCTCGAATGTAAACACACGTGTCGCGTAGTAGTGTCGTGGTCGTGCAATTTTACAATCAGGGCCGTTACTTCACATTAAATCACACTTCACAGAGTTCAATTACCATTATTAGTCACATTAAATAACCTTATCTATAAAGGAATTTGATATGCCTACAAATATTAATTAAAAGCACAAATAATAAAAATACAAAATTATACGGAAACAAATCAATTCAAATTAAAACAAGATGTTTTTGTCACGCCTTTGAATGTCGCGATTCGAAAAGTTGAATACTTCAGACTTTGGAATACGAATAGGAAATTGTTCAATGTTTGTCCTGTAATGATTTAGTGTATTTAGCATATTTAGCACATGCTAAATGGTTCTCTCTATAACTGACATTGTTTTTCTCATGTCGCGGTCAAGAATACTGATAGTAATAAGCATACTGATCGATTAAAGGGATTCAAGATCGCTCATTTAAATGTACGAAGCTTAATCAAGCATATCGATGAACTAAGGCTGTATCTTTATAAACAACAATTTGAAATAATTAGCGTTAACGAAACCATGCTTGACCTGTCTGTCTCAAATCAAGAGATCAAAATTAATGGTTATGATACTGTGAGAAAAGACAGGAATAGGCATGGTGGTGGAGTCGCAATATACATAAGACTCTCAATAAACTTCATAATAAGAGACGATTTAACTGACGATAATCTCGAAACAATTACACTTGAAATTTCAAAACCAAAATCCAAACCATTCTTAATTAATAGTTGGTATAAACCACCCAATACAACACTTGAAATATTCAATGCATTCGAGGATTTAATTACTCGAATGGACTCTGAAAACAAGGAAATAATTTTACTTGAAGATTACAACTGCGATTGGTCTCGCTTGGATAGTAACAGCGCTAACGCTCAGACAAACAAGCTTGCTGGAATTGCACAGACATTCCAATTTCAACAATTAATTAGTGAACCAACGCGAATTACAGCTAATAGTAAAACCTTAATAGATCTAGCATTCACCAATAAACCGGAATTGATAAATGGCTCGGGTGTCATTCATCTGGGGATAAGTGACCACAGCTTAATCTATATACAGAGAAAAATTTCCGTTCCCCGTAAAGAGCCAAAAGTGATCAAATCAAGAAATTTCAAACACTACAACTCAAACAACTTTAAATCAGACCTTTCCACATACTTATATGATCAAGTATTCTGTGATACAATGCTTGATCCAAATATTATGTGGGAAAATTGGAAAACAATATTTCTGTCGGTTGCAGATTTTCATGCACCAGAAAGAACAAAAAAAGTTAGAAGCGAGTATGCGCCATGGATTACAGAAAATATTAAACAAACTATGCGTCGAAGAGACTTTTTAAAGAAAAAAGCAGTTAAGACAGGATCAAAACATTTCCATGATGCTTATAAACGCACACGAAATGATTTGAATAGATTAATTAAGAATACAAAAGCAATTTACTTTACAAATACTTTAAATGACTGTGATAACAACCCAAAGAAATTAATAAACTTACAAACAAACAGTCAAAAACAACTGTTATATCTGAAATCCGGAACGATAATCAAAATTTGACTAAAAAACATGAAATTGCAGATGCTTTAAATTCACATTTCAACGATGTTGTATCTCGTTTGGTTAATAACATGCCACAGAGCTCAAGGACATTTGAGTCATACGTGACTAGGTCCAATACACAATTTACGATACAAAATGTTTCATTAACTAAGGTATATAAGTTGCTCTCTACAATTAAAACATCCAAATCAGCAGGGCATGATAGAATACCCGGTAAACTTCTAAGAGACGCTGCTGAAGTAATAGCACCATCCCTGTCAGCAATCTTTAACGCATCTAAAAACACTGGTATGTTTCCTGAAGACTTCAAGATTGCTATAATTTCTCCAATTCATAAGGCTGGAAGCAAAACTAATTGCGATAATTATAGACCAATCTCGGTTCTATCCTCAGTTGCTAAAATATATGAGAAATTAGTTACAGAGCAACTAGAAATTTATCTTGAAACTAATCACATTCTTGCAGAACAACAAGCAGGATTTAGGAAAAATCACTCTACACAAACTTCTCTACTTAACATCACGAACCAATGGCTAATGAATATGGATAAGGGTTTGTTAAATGGAGTGATTTTTTTGGATCTCAAGAAAGCGTTTGACCGTGTTGATCATAATATATTGTTAAAAAAAATGCATTGTTATGGAATAAGAGGTCATACGCTTGCTTGGTTCCAGTCTTATCTTTCTAGCAGGATTCAAATATGTAAGGTAGATCAAACAATGTCCAAGACAAGAACAGTTAAATGTGGAATACCCCAAGGTTCTAATCTTGGGCCACTTCTTTTCTTATTATATATAAACGACCTGCCAAACTGCCTGACCTCATCTTCAGCAAGCATGTTTGTCGATGACACAAATGTTTCAACCAATGGCAAAACAAATGACGAACTACAAGAACGCATTAACGTTGACTTAGAAAATATACACCAATGGTTACTTGCAAACAAACTTACACTTAACAAAGATAAAACTGAATACATGATTATTGGTTCAAGACAACGAATTTCAAACTTAGTACTAACGGACCCTAAAATTGAGCTTGGCGAATCAGTCATTAAACGGGTTCACAAATCAAAAACTTTAGGCGTAATTATTGATGAACATCTTTTATGGAATCATCAAATCCAAAATATTGTCACAAAAGCTTCAAAAGGAATAGGAATGATGCGGCGAATAAAACAGTTTGTTCCCAAATCAACCTTAGTAAAAATATATAATGCCATTGTGCTATCACATTTTGATTATTGTAGCTTGGTTTGGGATAACTGTTGTGATTACTTAAAAAACAGACTTCAGAAATTACAAAACAGAGCGGCCCGAATCATCACTGGTAAAACTTATGAAGTTAGTTCTGAGGATGTTTTAAAAGAATTAGACTGGCAACCTTTAAACCTACGCTATAAAACCAATAAATCGATTTTTATGCACAGAATACGAAATGCCATCGTCAATTTGCAACATGTTCAAAATTAAAATAAATGACAGATATGATTTAAGAAGTAACAATGACAACTATGGTCTTAATTAGAAAACCTGAAACAAATTTTATGAAAAAGAGCTTCAGTTATTCAGCTGCATCCCTTTGGAATGACTTATCAACTACAGCAAAAGAAAAAGGCATTAGCCTTAACAAATTTAAACGTATTCTTGAGGGCACTTGATTCCTTTTGGTAACTATGTAAATATTTAAATAGGATAGGATATTTTTAGATACAAATGTAGTGCATGCAATTATTAAGCTCGTTATGTTTTCTCTGTTTTTGTGTGTATATTTGTGTTATTATATTTATATAGCTTGTAAATACTGTAATAAACGGCCTCTTGAAAAACAGGTGCCTACGAGCCCTGAAGAGCTACCGTTTTAAAATATTTTTAAATAATAATAATAATAATAATAATAATAATAATAAAATGTAATTTAATAAAATATACTTTTCAATCGCGATCAATCTTGGCTTCTAAAACTGAAATATAACATGGTGTCAGGTGTGGGATGTTAGTCTAAACGTCAGACTAATTCAATATCAAAACACTTTCAAGAAAGTAGCAATATTCTCGGATAAATTTTAGACCAAAATTTCAGCAACGAAAGTAAACAAGGGCGATGCATTTTGGTCTAATACCGCCTCAAACGTTGGATCTAAACAGTGGATATGTATCGGCAAACTGGAAAAAATTCAAGCAGAGGTATCTCAACTACGAAATAGCAACTGGCATCAGCGGAAAAGAGGATGCAACTTGAGTCGCAACATTGCTGACCGTCGTAGGAAACGAAGCATTCTCAGCTAGATTAATACATGGCTCCCATTCAAATATAGCCAAAAATACATTAAATTATATAAAAAAAATCAGCTTAGTCTGAATGAATGTGGTCAAAGTTGGTATATGAGGACAATAGGATTTTACTTTTTTTCTATGCCTTTGTTGCCATGGCAACAGTCACGTGACCATTTAAATGGTCTCCTTCCAAATGACCAAAACAAGGCCGCTGCCGCTAGCGGATATTCGCTCAGATAAACTAACATTTACGCATTAACGTTCTTTAGTACTCACAGATTATGGATCCAATCAGCCCCTGTTCCTACACCGTTCAGAATTTTATATATTTTCGATAATATACAACTGACACTATGCTCTGGTGTCAATAAGTGCACATTATTTTGAAACGAAGCCATCTCGGAGCAGGGGCTGATTCGTTTCGTAAACTGCGAGATTTCCACTAAACAAAAGCGTTGTTAATGTACTAAATTGACTAAAAACCGCTGTCAGCGGAGCAAACGAGTTTTCTTCCACGCGATCACTTTAGTATCGCCGCTATCATTATGAGCCCGCGTTGGAAGTTTAGCGGATACACAAATAAATATACAAAATTAACATTCCAATGTTGTAAGGCGATCACCCAACAACAGGAATCTCAAATCTTTACCGCTTCAAAAGCAATAATTTGGCTATCAGAATGAACAATATTAGATTTATTACTGCGGACTTAAAACATAGATAATATTTATATTGTAAAGAGGGTGCGAAATTGTGATTAGATTGCTACTAAAGACATATACAACTATAAATATATAGAGGAATTAGGGGCATATTGTGGTAACTAAATCCTCTATTGCATAATTGTAGGTTTTTTATCAAGCCGGAAAAATATTATATGAGGAATGCAATATAAATCCGAACGAGATCAACAGATCCAACTATTTTCCCATTTCAAACATTCGTTGATATATATATAGTTATTTAAAATTTGAATCAGCTTTGCACAACAATATTTCGTGTATTTATTAGTGATATGCAAGTGAATTTACAAACGCTACAACTTGCTATTATCTGCTGTTTGACAAGAGCCATTTGACAGTAATCCGCAAGGCGCATAACTCTAATCATAATAATAATAACATATTAAATCGTTCGGATTTTGGCGCAAAATTTTAAATTGATTTGATATACAGGTACTCTGCAATGTATAAAGTATGGTCCTAAGTTTTAGTTTTGCCCACCCAAAAAAACATTTTGAAAGAAGACATTTTGAGACTTTATTACGCCCACGAACTGACGAATAGTGTCAAAACACGCGCGCCTCCCGCGTGGTACATAAAGGTCAATACGTGGACGGAGCCATGCATTAATCTAGCTGAGTTGGACGTCTACGACACGTTCGTGTGGACTGCAGTTGGAGATGATAAGAAGATTGCTAAAGTTCTTGAAAAATTCGATGAACATTACGAGCCAAGAAAAAACGTTACCTATGAAAGATACATATTTTTCACCAGAGCACAAGAAACCTGTGAAACCATTGACCAGTATGTCACAACATTAAAGAGGCTTAGTGACACCTGTGAATTTGGGACATTAAGAAACACTCTCACCAAGAACAGAATAGTCCTGGGAGTGAAAAATCAGAAAATTCGTGAGAGACTTCTTCGTGAGCCAGACCTAACCCTTGACAAATCACTTGATTTGGTTAGAGCTGCAGAACGTACGGAAATGCACATCAAAGTAATCAACGATGGGTCAGCGGTACATGGTATAAATCACAAGAAAAGTAAATTTAACGAGAGAAATTCTCAAGAGGAAAACTCAAAGAAATCCAATCGAACAGAGAATTCTTTAACGTCTGAGGTGTTCAACTGTCGTAACTGTGGAACTAAACACAAAGGGAAAGAATGTCCTGCATATGGGAAAACGTGTCATCGCTGTCGTAAATCGAATTAGTTCAAAGCTATGTGCAGATCTAAAAAGAATGTCAATGCTGTAGAGCGACAAGAAGATTCGTACCTTAAAGAAACACTGTTTGTAGGAGTGACGTCAGAAGTTCAAAATGATGAATGGTATGTTACTACGAAAATCGAGAAGCAGAACACGAAGCGCAAAGTGGACACTGTTTCGCACGTGAACATTCTCCATCTTAATCAATTAAAGAAGATTAAGCCCCAACCAAGTCTCAAAGAATCAAGTCATAAATTAATAAGTTACACTGGAAACAATCTTGCTGTGTTAGGAACTATAGAACTATGTGTAGAATCAGAAACAAGTCAATCTAGAAACTTTTAAAACTTTCTATGTGGTAGACACAAATCAGCCAGGTCTTTTGGGACTGTGAGCAGCTCAGGAACTCGGGATGATAAAAATTGTAGGAAATACCAGAGTAGACCCAACGGCCAAGAAACCACCTATGAGCATATCTCAAAGAAGAAATATTTAAGAAACATCAGAAAATCTTCACTGGTTTGGGTCGTTTAGAGAGAGAATACCACATCGAAGTTGATCCAACAATGACACCGGTCATTAATCCTTCTAGAACTATTTCAGCTGCTCTTCGCAGTAGAGTGAAAGAGGAACTTGATGATATGGAAAGGAAAAACGTAATTCGTAAAGTGGAAAAGCCAACTGATTGGTTCATTTCTATGGTAGTGGTAGAGAAACCTAACGGAAAACTTCGCATTTGTTTAGACCCAAAACATCTAAACAAAGCAATCAAGCGTGAACATTTTCAATTACCAACAATTGAAGATATCACTACACGTATGGCCAATGCCAAGTGGTTCTCCCAGCTAGATGCCAATCATGGATACTGGCAAATACCTTTAGACAAGGACAGTCAACCCCTTACCACTTTCAACACTCCTTTTGGCAGATATTACAACACATGGACTCCATTTGATAACACCTTAGCACAAGAAGTTTTTCAGTAAAGGATGCACCAACATTTCGACGATCTTGAAGGTGTTGAAACGGATATTGACGACATCCTTATTCACGGAACGACAGAAGAAGAGCATGATCGACGCCTCGAATCAGTCTTAGAAAGATGTGAGAAGATCAATCTAACCTTAAACAAAGAGAAATGTGAATTCAAATCCAGAGAAATCACATATGTCGGACACAAACTGACAGAAAATGGCGGTAAACCTGATGAAAGGAAAGTTAAGGCTATTAATGAAATGGAAGCACCAACAGACAAGAACGGTGTGGAGAGACTGCTTGGAACTGTGAACTATTTGGGAAAATTAATTCCAAATTTAGCAACCTTTACCAAACTAATCAGATCGTTGTTGAAGAAAGAGATCGAATTCCAGTGGTCTTTCGAGCAACAGAAAGCATTTCAGGATGTTAAAGTGCCCCTGTCACAAAATGAGAGTTTACATCATTAGAATCGTCTTGAAATGTAGATTATGAAAATACAAAATAGATTTAAAATTGAGCTTGTTTTCACAGAGTAATAAGGCAATGAAATTTGAAAATTTCAAATTTTAACGGCAAAAATTTTTGAAAACCGCGAAGCTGGGAAATTGGTAACTAATACGTCATAGTAGGAAGACATTGCCTTCTCGCCTAAGTGAACAGTATATAAATACTAAGTGAGAATCACAATCAAGCTGGTCAAAATCGATACAAATGTCTTCGTGGAGTTCAGATACGGAAAATAACAGTTACCAAAGCGATGACTGGCTGAAATTATATTCCTGGGCCGTATCAAATCGAGCCGGAAATCGATGAAAACACCAGTGAAGCGTGGTCAACGTCGTGCGCACAAATGATCGGCGCTGCTTGATCCTTATGTTAATGAACCATGCAGTGACCGATGGCTCAAACGTTACCGCGATAAAAAGCAATCACAACGAACGTCTTAAGCAATTACAACAAAGGCTTGATAGTTCAGAAGAATTGAGTAAATAGTAAATATTTCACTCTGATTTTGTTGCGTGACTTGACCTTGTGTTGTAAATTACAAACTATAATATTTCATATGTAAACGTGGCAATTGTCGCATTGAACTGCTTCGTAAATTATGCTAAAGAGTGTCAATGTTGTATGGAAATTGAGGAGTGCATCGATTCTCTACACAGTAACATTGTGATTTGTGATGCAAGAAGCTGAAGTCGCGCCATCATGTATAATTCAACAGCTATGGCTAGATAAGTGAGCTCTCCGTTCAGCAGCCACGAAATTACGAACAAGAAAGAAACAGGAATACCGTCAAACAAGCACAGAAGATAGGTAAATAAAGTTTTATTTATCAACATATTGAAATTAAGAAACACTTTACCGTACCCGAGTTTACTATCAGTGAACACACGCATGCGGTACGGTAACTGAGAGCTTATATACGGTACATACTGTTCAATTATTGAATTATTATATATTTACATGTGTTCACATGCAAGTAAGCGACTTATTTAAAATACTTATTTATTAATTTATAGATTCTGAAGGAGCACAGCATATAGAAACTTTGTGTGGATGGTTTATGGACAACTAGGAAATAGACATTTTTGCGCATATGAGAAAATATTGGCTGCTGTTGATGAAGACTTTGTAGGATTTGTAGAGAACAGCTCTTGATATTATATAACTATTTTTCAATAAATTACACTGTATAAACGTGGTAATATTATACTGTATTGCGTATAGAAACAGCACATTTGCTATATTCATGACTTCAATATTGTTTTGCCAAAGAGACTGAAATTTGAGATTAAGATTTGTATCTGATGTTTTTCTGCACTTCGTGCGCGCGGGTTAATTTGTACAAAGTGTTGCAGCACGTTTAGGAATTTTTATGACTTGTATTTCGTTCCAGGCACTGCCTTATACTATAGCAAATGTGGCAATGACTAAGTTATTTCATTAAGTTGCTTCAATGGATTATACTATGTAATACATTTTATATACACCCCCGCAGTGTATCTGGTTTCATGCCGGCACAATTTGTTACAAAATCTGCATATTGTACGGGTTTTCACTGCGGTGCAAACACAACGAGTGTATATATGTATAATTTACTGCGTCAAGTTTACTTATATGTACAATTCTACTTTCTCTGTCTAAACTAAAATACAAACAGTGCACATTGCTTGTAGACGTACGAAATTGGCCTTCATCCGCTATATTTTGACCATATTCACTCATAGTCATAGCTGTATTGTCGCGATATTTTATATCTCCACTGGCTGTGGCTCATTTATATTTATCGCGCTTTGCAGTTTCGTGACTATGACCATATCGGTTGACTGCATCGAAGCAGCTTATAAATACAACCTATTCAAATAACGAATTTGGAATAAAAATTGCACTAGGCCATATTCAAGTGCATGCTAAACGAAATTAGAGTATAAATTATACATATACCATTCTCTTTGCTCTCGCAGACAAAGGTTTGTCGTCGACAGTATTTGTATATTTTGGAATTGCAACAAAACCAATTTCGTCGGTAGCTAACCGTGGTTTTACCAGCAAGCTCTATCTTCGCAAGGTATGCTTGGATCTCATATTGCTGGTTTAAGGTGCACGAAGTCAATCCGTGTCCTTTTCGCTTCGGGCCTCTCGTCTCCAGTAAAAGGTATAAAATGAAGTGAAATGCCTTACTCTGTATCTGTGACATTAGAACAACCGCCTACTACACATATATTCGGCAATGTTTCAGTTTCGTGACTTTTATTTGCGCTATTGCCTCCTCTATGATAGTACATGCAATAGTATTTCTATATTAGTGCGCTACATAAGTTCCTACTATTACGTCACACGCATTGTTTCGTCCCAGTCCCTTTTGCGCGGTTTTCAGATTTTTTACAAGGCCAAATTCAATGTTTAAACGGCAATAACTTTTACACTAAAAAAGCAATTTCAATACCGTTTTCTAATTTCCGTATATTTTGTATCATAGATTTCGAAAGTATAAACTCTCATTTTGTGACAGGGACACTTTAAGGACACTCTCACCAAAGATGAAGGTCCAGTATTAAAGTTTTTTGATGTATCGAAGCCGGTCACCATTAGATGTGATGCGTCACCTACAGGTTTTGGGGAAATTTTGTTGCAGGATGGCTACTCAATGGCGTACGCGTCAAGTTCGTTTACAGAAACCGAATCAAGGTACGCCGAAATAGAAAAAGAACTTCTGGGTGTGCAATTCAATCTTGATCGATTTCATCAATATGTGTACGGAAAGGAAGTTTATGTCGAGTTAGATCATAAATCTCTGGAGATGATAGCAAAGAAATCGCTGGCATTAGCTCCTCCTCGTTTGCAGAGATTACTCCTGAGAAAACAGAAGTACAACCAGCCTAGTACCAGGCTCTCTCTCTCTCTATTCGCTGCTTTGATATATTTAAATAAGTCTTAAAAGTTGTATGCCCGGGTTTGCTGTGCGCAACGCTTCAGCGAGGGAGCCTAGCAGATTTCGGTAAAATGGTCCCTGATTTAAAAAAGTGGTCCCTGGCCTGCTTACCAAGCATATCGCATTTGTAAATAGAAAATGTTATGGAAATTTCCTTTGTGTTTATAATTAAGTCATTAGTTTTGCTCTAATGCTGTCGGAACAATGAAATAGGCTACGTTTCGCTACCATACGGTCAGAATGAAATAACGGGCTAAATATGACTCGTGTTTACTAAAATATAAAGCCATATTAAATGCTATCTAGAAGCTTGAAAATTATGCCGAGTCTCCGACTAAAAATGTTTTGACAACGCTGTCATGTCAGGCAAATATTTGCAATATCCTTAGCTACTTAAACCTGTCAAGTAGAAAGCGGAGTTGTGTATACCAGTATGGACGTATGGTCTAGAGTTGATCACAACTTGCGAGTATATAAATAACATCAACTATTACACGACCACTGTTCAGACTCAGTATCGTAAATTCGTATATATTTTTTTTTTAATTGAGTACATTTTTAATACAGTTTGAATTTGGTTATGTAGACATCGAACATGATCAACGAACATTGTCGTATTTACAAGGTTATTTGTATTAATGATTTTCCGCCATATTAAAATACTGAAATCTGCTTGGCGTTCTGAAGCACCTTTAGCGGTGACGTCACACCTAGGTCCCAGTCTCGTACTACATCCACGTTTTTTCTCGCGCTTGCTTCAGAACGATTGGGACTAGGCTGAAGTACAACTACACTATCGTCTACAAATCAGCTAAAGAAATGGCGCTGCCAGATATGTTGTCAAGAGCCCCTTCGAAACTGACGAGCAAATGGAAAATGAAATTAATCTGCACGTACACCTCCTAAGTTCAACCCTACCAGCTTCAGAATTCAAATTACACGAAATTTGAGAAGCAACAAAGAGCGACGAAGAACTAAGAACATTATTGAATATCATTCAGAACGGATGGCCAGATCAGAGAGAGAGCGTACTGTTGTCAGTCCTACCCTATTGGAACATTCGCGATGAATTGTCGGTGATAGATGGAATCATCTTGAAAGGCGACCGCACGCGTATTGTCGTACCATTAGCAATGAGAAAGGATATGCTACAAAGAATACATCATGGTCACATGGGGATCGAGAAATCGAAGGGAAGTGCTCGGGATGCTCTTTATTGGCCTTTGATGTGCAAGCAGATAGCTGAAATGGTATCTAAGTGCACCGTATGTCTTGAGCACAGAAAGGAGAGTACCAAAGAGCCTATGATACCTTTCAGAGTACCAACCTTTCCTTGGGAAGTGGTGGCAACAGATTTATTTAGTTTGGACAACTTGGACTATCTACTTATTGTTGACTATCTTTCCAGATACTTTGAAGTTGTTAAGTTACCAGACACAACGAGTTCAACGGTTATCACGTACACCCAGTCGATATTCTCCCAACATGGTATTCCTGCAGAAGTCGTAAGTGATAATGGGCGACAATACTCATGTAGAGAATTTCAAGCATTCGCAGAAAGCTGGGAATTCAAGCATACGACAGTTAGTCCTCTCAACCCACAAGCAATGGTTTAGCAGAAAGGACTGTACAAACTATCAAAGATCTTTTAGTTAAATCGAAGAAAGATCAACGAGATCCATATTTAAGTTTATTGGAATATCGAAACACTCCTATCGATGATGTGGGAAGTCCAGCGCAGTTACTGATGAATAGGCGTTTGCGTTCAAGATTTCCTCAAACGATATCGCAGTTGAATCCCCGTATTCCAGATCGTGTTGAAGTAAAGACAAAATTGAATCTGAAGCAGCAGAAACAGAAATTCTATTATGATCGTCAGTCAAAATCCATTACTAAGTTACACGAACGAGATAGAATTAGAGTAAGAATGAAAGGTTCACGAAAACCAGGTGTTGTCACTCGTGAAGAAGAAACACCGAGATCGTATCGTGTTCAGATTGATGATGGTGGTGAATATAGGAGAAATAGAAGAATGCTTCTGAAGTCTGTAGAACCTGATCCTGTAGCAGAGGACATGTTTAGTGATGAAATTCCTTCAACAAGAATTCGAAGTATACCCTCCCTTGAGAATGTTGAAGCGCTAGCCACTCTCGATGAAACCCAATCGCAATCGAGTACAATCACAGAAATTATCCCTCCATCTACAGAAGTTAGAACAACATCGAGAGGAAGAATAATAAAGAGGCCATCAAGATTTAATGATTTCATAATGAAGTAAAGTTTGACTATGTAGAGTAAATTATTTATTTAATAACTTATCTGAACTTTAGATCCTGTGTTAGATAATTAGAAATATTACAAAGAGATTCAGAACAGAAAAACGCTAGGAATTAACGACTTTTTGGGGTTTTTTTTTCATAAGGAAGTTGTAATGATTTAGTGTATTTAGCATATTTAGCATATTTAAATAATTGGTCAGCTGCAAGCATCGTGGGATCATGTCTCGGGTTCTCTCTGTAACTGAAATTGTTTTTCTCGTGTAATTTAATAAAATAAACTTTTCAATCGCAATCAATCTTGGCTTCCAAAATCGAAATATAACATGTCCTACCCTGAATATTTCAAAATGATTTCATTTCAATTTTTTGTTTTAAAAGTAACCTGGTACAGATACAAATTTACATAAACTTTTCAAAAATTCGAATTCTTTAATTTATTTAACAGATTTGGATCCAGTAACAGCCAAATATCTAAAAACAGAGACATTAAAACATCAGGAGAACAAACCATAGCAATGAGAACATCTTAAAAATCCATGATACAGACTAAGGCAAGATGTAAATTTAGCAATTAAACCAATTAAATATTGTTGTTCTTGTTTCTTCTATATTTTAGTTTTTTGAATATGTTTTCATGTTTTAATTTAAAAAGGATATTAAGCAGTAGATTGCTACGATATTTCTTCAAAAGTATATCCGCTGGCTTATATATATCCGCTGGCTTATACATACACTGTAAAAACTGATAGGTTAAAATAACCAAAAAATAGGTTATTTGCTTTGGTCTAGGACAACCCGATAAATATAGGTTATTTCGATAGGTTAAGAGAACCGAAAATAAATAGGTTAAAACAAACCATTAAAAATGGGTTGGTTTATACCCGTAAGAAATACGTTGTTTTAATAGGTTAAAACAACTAAAGTTAAATATGTGAAAGCAAACCATCGCAAATGGTTAATTTAACCTATAAATCTTTAATATGTAATTTTAACCTATTGATTATTGGTTGATTGAACTAAAGATTTATGGTTATTTTGACCAATTAAAAAAGTAATTCCAACATATATTCAAAAGTTAAAATGACTAAAATTTAAATGTCCAATTGAGCATATTTCAACCAAATAAATATAGGTTGTTTTAACTATATTCAAAAACTCATTAATAATTCATGAAGCAATTATCCAATCTTGAGTAAGAAATTAGTCACGTGCATACGTCTTTATACCAGCTAAACAACACTTTAACAAAAGACCATTGTTATGCAAACTATATAAAGGTTTTTATATAAAGATTTTTTTATAAAGGTTTTTATATAAAGATTTTTATATAAAGATTTAACTTATTATGCATACGTTTTTGAAGTCATTTAAAAAACTCGCGGGTCGTGTTTTATTAGGTCTAAAGCCACTCGCGCTGCGCGCTCGTGGCTTTAAACCTAATAAAACACTCCTGCTCGTTTTTTAAATAGTACATACAAATGGTACGGATATTCACCAATAATATTTTCGTTGCATGATTTGGCCAATTTTTTTAGTTATAACAACCAATAAATAACGGTCAAGGTCGGAGTACGAAACAGCGCGCACTTTCGTTGGTAAAATGATGTTGCGTCAACTAAATAAGATAAGCTAAAACAAAATAGGGCAATAATTCTGCAGGGAATTAATCATCTAAGCACGTTATATATAATCAAACAATATTTTGAACTTTATATAAAATTATATTTTGTAACATATATAAAATTGCAGTAAGTACACAGTAGTACGTATAGTGTTACTATAGTCTGCGATCCAGTTGACTACACTGTTACTGACAAATAGGCTAGATTGTATACGCCCGTATTTATTGTATACGCCCGTATTCTAAAAGCTCACTCACGCTCACACTCAGTGAGTGGAGGTTCAGTCTGAGCTTCTCTTGAGTGTCAATGCTGTTTTTGAATAGCTGGAGGATGAGTAGTCTCATAGTAAGGTACGACACTAACCCTTCAGCTATTTAAAAACAGCACTGACACTCAAGAGAAGCTCAGATTAGACCTCCACTCATTGAGTGTGAGTGAGCTTTTAGAATGCAGGCGATACACTGTAAATTAAAAAGGGCTGAAACGACCCCAAAAATGGGGCCAAAACTGTGACCGCAAAATAGATCTTTTTTGGGGTCAAAATGGCACCTATAACAATGCGGCCCCTAAGGGGTGATTTGGCCCTTCCAGTGTAAGGGCTGTTTCAGCTTTTAGTAGGAGCTGTTTTGGCAAAAGCAGGGGCTATTTTAACTTTCAATAGGGGCCAATTCAGAAAATTAGGGGGCTATTTTGGCATTTCAAGGAGTTAATTTGGCTCCCATTTGTGGTCATAATGAACCCCAAAAAGCGTTGATTTGGCTCGCTAAGCGGAGCTGTTTTGGCTACTGAGTTACAGAGTAGTTTCAGCCCCAATGAAGAGATGCTTTAGAACCGAAGGAGCCGATATAGCTTTTCTAATGGTGTAGTTTTTTAGCACCCAAAGGGCCAATATGGTTCTATTTCTGAGCCATTATAGACCACAAGAAAGGCCAATTTAACCCCTACTTTTTTAACCAGACCTATTTTGGCCCTCCCAGAAGAGCACAGTTTCAGCCCCAAAGAAGAGCTGCTTTAGAGTCGAAGGAGCTAATATAGCTTTTTCATGGTGTAGTTTGTAGCACCCAAAGGGTCAATTTGGTCCAATTTCAGAGCCATTATAGATCCAAAAGAAAAGCCAATTTAACCCCTACTTTGTTAACCGGAGCTGTTCTGGCCTTTTCAGAGGAGAGCTGTCTCAGCCCCAATGAAGAGGTGCTTTAGAACCGATTGAGCTGATATAGCTTTTTGGTGGTGCCGTTTTATATAGCATTTAAAGTCATGTGCATGATTTGGTTGCACTCTTTCTTTGTAGACGTATTCTACATGTATATAATGAATCAGGCAAAAATAATGGGGTTTATTTGGTTTATTACAATTTCTCCAACAGACCAAGATTGGAATTAATTATTGTAATATAAGTTGAGATAAATAATGTTCCAATTTCTGAATTATAAACACAATACTATAACTAAAATTACAATATACATGCACAGTAGTCAGTATTATGTATCTCACCGAAATGTGGGAACCATCAAAAGATTCGTACATATATGCCATATGGCTCCGAAAGTTTACAATTCTAATTTTAAAGAGCAATCAACTTGTGATAGCAATAGCAGGCGCGGTTGTTAACGTGAACGCAATACGAATAATTTCTAATACATTACCACAGTTCGGTGAGATGTGAGACAATACACACACTCCATCAATAACATGACAAGTCATTGAAGAGGGCTGTGACCCTCATTAGTGAGCTTAAGCAAGTGACGTTTTTGACAACACTGACGGCATGAGCAACGTCAGAAGACTGGGTCAAGGACTGTGATTGGTGAAAAACGTCAACTTTACCTCCGGTCGACGTCCGTGTTGTCAAAAACGTCACTTGCTTAAACTCACTATTGGCAGTTGCATGCCATTTTCTGTGTTGGCCATGCACTACTATAGTCTGCAAGGCAGACAAGATGCTCTTCGTGTGGCAGTACTCAATATTGAAGATGTAAAAACTTGCCAATAAGGCGATAATTGCATCAAAACAACTGTTGCTTGTTATGGAACTTTCATCCTTTCCCTCGATAACGTATGATTGATAGTTTCTAGTCGTATTCTAGTTCGCTGCCAGCGGCCACAATATGGGTTGTGATAAGTTTGAAATTGTATCATTTGCATCTTTGGACTCCTACAAAAAAATAGAATTAGAATGTATGCAATAATCCGCAATTACAGAGGGTTATAGGACACATAAGATATAAGGTCTCACCAAGAAACCCAATAATAAAGCTCTTACATACATCAGACACAAAATACCTGAAAAAGTATATCACACCCGACCCCTATAACCCTTCCAAAAGCATTAAGTATAACATACCAATATACAGCAATATTTTGAAATATCAAAATATATGCTGCCTCGCAACGAACTCTCCTAAAAATAAGCTCACTATAAGCACACCAATATTATTCAAATTTACAGTATACTGTATCATAAGAAAAATAAATACAAAATTGGAAACATGAATTTCCATAGCCTGGTACAAGTGATTCAGGGAGACTGCATAAAAACATAATACATGATATACATATAACTATACAATCTTATTTAACCCATTAAGCACCAGGGCTCTCCCCTTTACGAGTAGAATAGACGTTTGACAGAGTAGAGTAATAAAGTTGAAAATCATTTTGTTTGAATTACTTCATTTATCTATTTGTTTAAAATTATGTATGGTAGATTCTGTGGTATGAACACTTGCAAAATTACTCAAAAAAATTTAAAATATAATGTGACATTATGTTGCCTTGACAACACTTGACACAACGTAAGCCTGTGTTCAGTGCTGGCCAATTGCTAATAGTTCATGTTAGATCAATGTTTGGAAAATATAGGCTAGGGGTTGCTCCATGCACTTATTTCTAGTTAAATATTAATTGGACATACTCATGTCACAAGTGGTATTCATTATATCTTGGTCAGACAAAACAAATTCCATATTTAAGAAGTATGGCAACCCACAGATTAAAATAGACATCTTGTGAATAATGTCACAAACGATTAATAAATTTTTGCTGCAGCAAGCACAGATTCACCAGAAACATGTAACCTCATGAGTTTACACACCCCAAAACAATACTTTCCTAAAATGACAGCTTTCCTTCATCATTTAATTTTATAACTGGGCTTAGCTGATCTGTTCTTATAGTTTTTATATTTTTAGACTTTTCGTTATTCAAGTTTGAAACGAGACCAAGACTGGTAGCGTTTAATTTTGACAATTTAAGAGAATGTAGTTCTGCATTACTGTTTTTCTCTGTATCTCATCCTTAATGAGCCTACCATTTTTAAATTTCAAATGTACAACAGATACTTTGCGCTATTTATTGCCTCTTTCTTTCCTCTTCTA